GAGGGGAGGAGCAGCGAGAGGGCAGATTTAGTTCCATGTCTTTCCACAGAGAGAGAGAGAGAGAGAGAGAGAGAGAGAGACTGTGTGTGTGGGGCGTAGAGAACGAGGATAGAGAGAGAGCGAGAGTGTGTGTGTGGCGTAGAGAACGGGGATAGAGAGACAAAGACAGACACAGAGAGAGAGAGAGAGAGAGAGGTCTTTGCAAAGTTTCATTTATTCTTCGTTTAGAGGAGAATAACCTTCTTCCCGTTGTCGCGACGGAGGTTCTAAAAATAACTTTCAAAATTATTAAATGTATTATTATCCTTCATTATCTCCCTTTCCCCCTTTTCCAGCTCTTCTTCCCCCCACTCCTCATCCTTCTTTCATTTGCTCTCACCCTTTTTCGTCGTCTGCATCTACCACGACCACCTCCTCCTCCTCCTCCTCCTCCCCTTCCTCCTCCTCCCCCTCCTCCTCCTCCCGCTTCTCCTACTACTCCTCGTCCTCAGCTTCCTCCTTCCCCCCTCTCCCTCCTCTCCCCTCTTCCTTTAATTAACCCCTATTCGTGAATTACCAAATTTGCTGTTTGTGGAAAAAACTTATTTGCCCCTTATCCTCCTCCTCCTCCTATTGGGCAATTTCTCTTTTCTCCTCCTACTCCTCCTCCCCCTACTCCTCCTACTCCTCCCCTCCTCGTCTTCCTCCTCCTCCTCCTCCTCCTTTGTGGATTATTTTTCTTATCCTTCTCACGTTTGCGGCGGTTGCCGACAAGACAAAGAAAAAGAAGAACAACTATTCACAAAATGGATAAAAACAAGAATAGAAAAAAAAAGAAAAGGGGAAACGACAAATAGCTCCGCTATGCTAGGTCGTTTATAGACCGTTGATTAACCACCGATCTGTTCGTTTCCGTACTTTTTCTGCAATTTTTTCGGGACTTCTTTTTTTTGCGATTTTTCGGACTTCTTTCAGACTTTTTTTTTTTCTGTGTACAGCATCGCTACCTTCTGCAACCACCCTGGTTGGCTTCAGAGTTCTGTTCAACCACCTCTAACTTATATACCATTATATATAAAATATAAAAAATAATAATAATAATAATATAAAAACATATATATAGTATATGTATACACATATATACCTCTATGTCACGTAAACAGCGTCAACGTTATAGTGCATCCCAATTTCTTACGATTGCGTATCAGCTTGACGCTGTTGAAAATCAGTTGTTGCTTGACCATAATAGTCCACCTGCAGAAGGTAGTAACTATACTACCTCAGGAGGCTTTACTGTAAATGTCTTACAGTATCAGTTGTTGCTTGACCATAATAGTCCACCTGCAGAAGGTAGTAACTATACTACCTCAGGAGGCTTTACTGTAAATGTCTTACAGTTAGCGTTTCMCGGTCGCCACCTTCTTATGCATCATGCGACGCCAGGCGATGACCTCAATAACCATCCTCATATTTTTGCCTGTATTTTACATGGACCCGGGCATTATATGGCACTCATTYGTGCAGCTGCCCAGTGGGAACTGTGGGATGGTGGGATGATGAGTCAGGTCATTTTCGACGTGAATGAATTTTTGCGAGCGTTGTCGAATCATACTTTATTCTGGATTATTGACCGACTCTCGTGTGACGCCTGTCGGGACAGAGATGCGGTGTGCCTTGGCTGTGGAATGCATCATCTATRCCAYAGCCATTATCAATCTATTGTGACTGCCGCCGTCTGTCCTGAAGGGTGTCCAACATTTCCTCRTTGTACACATCCCTATCACCCAGATATACGTTGTCCCTATTGTGCCCAAGGACGCTATCAGAACTGTATGATGCCGCACTGTGATGAACGTCCTGCCGTGTTTTTGACATGTGGACAACACGTCCTCTATCAGGACTGTTTTGATGGGATGGTTCGTGCTAGCCGTCCTGCAGAATGCTGTGCTGGCGCAGCTCTCCTTGGGCATCCTTGTGAACATCCACATCATCCTCACCGTAGCTGTCCTATCTGCCGAGGTGGGG